TATCCTAGGTAGTTGCTAAGGTGTTGCCATGTTATCCAAGGTTGTTGCTAAGGTGTTGCTAGGCCATTGCTATAGCATCACAGGTGATTGCAAAGGTGTTGCTGGGCCATCGCTATGGCATTCCAGGTGGTTGCTAAAGTGTTGCTAGGTTATTGCCATGGCATCCCAGGTGGTTGCTAAAGTGTTGCTACATAATTGATATGGCATCCCAGGTGATTGCTAAAGTGTTGCTAGACCATTGAAGTGACATCATAGGTGGTTGCTAATGTGTTGGTAGGCCATTGCTATGGCATCGCAGGTGATTGCAATCATGTTGGTAGGCTATTGCTATGTTATCCCAGGTGATTGCTAAAGTGTTGCTAGTCCACTTATATGGCACGCTAGGTGGTTGCTAAGGTGTTGCTAAGCTGTTGCATTGTTATTCAAGGTGGTTGATATAGTGTTGCTTGGCCATTGATATGACATCCTAGGTGGTGGCTAAGGTGTAGCTAGGCCATTGCTATGGCATCACAGGTGATTGCTAAGGTGTTGCTGAACCATTTATATGGCATCCCAGGTGATTGCTAAAGTGCTGCTAGGGCATTGCTATGGCAACCTAGACGGTTGCCAAGGTGTTGTTAGGCCACTGACATGCTGTCCCAGGTGGTTGCTATCTAAGGTTTTTGCTAAAGTGTTGCCACACCACTGATATGTTATCCAAGATGGTCGCTGCAGTGTTGCTAGGCCATTGCTGTGGTGTCCCCCGGCAGTTGCTAATGCATTGCTAAGGCAATCCTATGTTATCCCAGATGATTAAACAAAGTATAAAAATAAACAGTTCTTTAACTTTTTATTTTATTACAAAACGTTCAGTGAACTCACGCTGTTGTTTTCCTTTCCCCATACAGATAGCATTTGGAAAAAAACAGGTTTGCTTCTGACAGCGAAAATATGCTTATTTATACTTGACTAGGCAGGGTGAGGGATGCCATGCATGCCAAAAAATTGACTTAGCACATAGCGAATTAGGATGATATCTTGTATTCCCATAGTAATTCAGCATGTATGAGCGAGTGCCCTCACTAACATATTGCATCAAGCCAGAGAGAGAAGAGGGAGGCTGCTATTAGAACCATAGGTGCCAATTGAGCTGTGAAAATGGGAATTGAGTAGGGAATAGGGAATAGCCCCCCTCTTCGTTTTATGGCCTACTCGGTGCTGTTTTGGGGTTTTAGCTTACACACACATCGCCTACTTAGCATGTGTGTGTGCGTGTGGGTATGCGTACGTGTGTGAATACAGGCGTTTGTGAGTGTATGAGTATGTGAGGGAAAGCAGTGAATTGAATTAACCTCAATACTCCACTTCTAGCGTGCAACTCAATGAACTGCAGTTGTTCCACATGGATGGAAAAGCAGCAGCAGCTATTGCAACAGCCGCAGCTCGCGCACACACACGCTTTCATACATCAAGCACCCTTCGTCTGCTCTCAGACACACAGACGGAGGTGCGCGCCGCTGTGTGTGCAGCGTGCTGGCTGGCTTCAAGTGCGCAGTGGCTGGTGCTAATGTGATTAGGGCTTTTAGCTGGAGATTTCAGGGTCGCGCTCTCTCCTTCGACGATCCATTTAGTTAGCACTCCGCCTGTTCCTTACCTTACTGGGCTGTTAAATAGGCGCATATGTTCGGTTGTTGTGTGCTTCTGTTTTCAAAGTGTTCGGAATGTCTGCATACTTCAGCGGTTGAGATGTAAACAGTCATTCAGACTGGTTTGATATGAAGTGGTTGATTGTAGAGAAACTTGCTGACTCAGATGTCTTTACAGTGGTGGTGATAGGAACCAGGGGTCACGATGTCTACAACACAAGTATAGCCATTTTTCTCACTATATAAAACCCCCAGTGAACCTACACATGTCTTGTAAGTTTTTATATGGAATGTTGATGATGGTAAAATTGTGAAAAGTCTATCCCTTCACAATTTATGGATTTTAAAGGTATGTTTTAGACCAAAGCCTTCTCCAAACTCTCATAAAACATTGTCTCAGGCATAAGGCACTGTATTCTTAATCATCTTATGTAGCAACTCTGTGGGGGGGCTTTTAGAAGCATTAAACTCTAATGACATCTGGTTCCTATCACCATCACTGAAAACAGCTCTGACTGTGCATGTTTCTCAAGAATGGAGCATTTTACATCAAACCACTCCGAATGACTACGTTTATGTCTTAACCGTAACAAATTTTGAAATATTGGTGCAATTTCCCTTTAACCTTAGCAACCAAAAGATCCGCTTTGGCCTCTTTTTTAATAAAAGCTGCAAAAAAAAACATTTCTTCAGAAAAAGACACTTGCGTATCTTTCTTTGAAAAATAATGAAGGCGATTAAGCAGCGCTTTCCATTCAAATCAGACTGATGCGTTTACGCTCCCTGGCAGAAGAAGGAAACTTAATTTAGCGATGTCATTGCTGGTCACTCCGGACGGTAACGCGCAGCAGCTTTGTGCAATTTGTGCGTGAGACCATGACGCGGCATGACAGCGGTGCGCTCCTTTTAATTAGTCACGTGCAGTTTGGCGCATCTCCTTCCTCCGAGGCATGTGTCCAAATTAAAAAGCCAGTGGCCGGTCAGCACACAGTGCCGCTTCAAAAGTGGGCTCTTTTCCCTTCTCATCGCTTCAGTTCACTTGGCATTCTGTCAGCTTATTGGCCTCAAACACCCTTCTGTGTTAAAACACAAGAGTAAGCAGTCTAGTTTAGCTGCATCATGGATACAACATCCCTGCTAGCGTTCAGGCTACCCTGCCAATCACAGTTAGCTGAATCTACAAAACATAGCCTAGCTAATGCTAATGATAGAGAAACCCTACACCTGCATAGCTCTAGTCAGAGAATTTCTTCTTCTTTAGCCACCTACGAAGTAAATATTAGAGAAAATGTAAATGTAGTTAGTGAACATCAGACAACTAGACAACTTTAAAGAAAACCTAAAGCTAGCTAGCAAATATTAGAGGAAATCTAAAGCAGGCTATTGGTTGATGGCTTGTTAACCTGAAGAGCAACCTGAAGCTAGCTAACATTATAGAAAATCTAAAGTTTAGCTCGCTAATATTAGAGAAAGCCATAAATCTGTCAGTAAGTCACCAGGCTTTCCAGTTAGTTATCCTGTCAGTAAGTCAGTCAGCGAATCAATTATTAATCAGCTAGTGAATCAGTCAGTAAGTCAGTGAATCAATTAGTCAGTCGGTTTTCGAGTCAGTAAGTCGGTGAATCAACTACTCAGTAAATCAGTGAGTCAACCCTTCGATTAATCTGAGAGGGTGAAACAACCAGTCAGTGACTAAGTGAGTAAATCAGTTAGGCAATCAGTCAGTGAATCTGTCAGTCAGTCAATCAATCAAACAATCAGTCAGTCAGTCAGTCAGCGAACCAGCCATTCAGTGAGTCAGTGCGTAAATGTATCAGTCTGTGAATTAATCAACCAGTTCGTCTATCAGTGAATCAGTCTGTGAGTTCATTTAGCTGGGGACAGTATTACTGGTTCACTGAGCAGTGTAGCAAAAAAAAAAGTTCCAGGAGCTTCTTAACTCTTCATTGCACTTGCCCCCCCAACCCCCCATAAGTCGGCGTATATTAAACCTCACAGGCAGGACGGCCAAATATTGGCTAGGAGATATTAAGGACAGCGGCTGTTTATGAGTGTGATAGGAGTAGCTGTTGGAGATGAAGCTGAAGGCAGTCCGCAGCGTCCGCCTGTGCCACACTGGCATTTTGGCAGCATCCACGCGGCTTGAGATAGTAGGCTAGTGAGAGCAAGCGAGAGAGAGAAGGAGAAAGAGAGAGAGAGGCCCTGCTTCAGGCACTGCTGTGACAGCAAGCTCGGGGTTTGCTCATCAGGGGAAAACTGGAGCATATTTCACCAAACTTTGCTGATAAGAGCTCTCGTACTCTGTCTTGAGAAATGAAAAAAAAAGCCTGGCTCAGTCTGTTTTCATTTTGGGAGGCCGAAGAGGCCTCCTCCAGGAGAACTGTGACAGAATTGTCATTTCCTCTGATGTCATTTGCCGCTCTGTATCCAATTCGGTCGTGGCGCACACGCGTGTTTGTGCCTTCATCAGCAGTTGCAAATGTACTGTTCCTGATGTATATGCAACAGGACAATATGGCTGTATGTTATTTGTATGCTGTGCGTGTGTGACTGCTCGAGCTAGAGTGTGTGCGCGATCGTGTCCCTCGCGCGGCCACGGCTGTCCCTTCATTTCACGCTCTGCCGGCTCTGTGTGAATCCTCTTCCCTGGGCTCATTATCGGTCCTGTTCGCCGAGCACACGGCCAGGCCAGGCGCACCACAGCCCAATCATTATTCAAATATACGAAGGGTCAGCACAGACAGCTCCGCGAACCCCTGCATGTGTACTTATTACTTTGTGCACACAAATAACTAAGCAGACGTCAAAAACAGTGGATCGATGGCGCAGGCCGTGACGGACGTTCACAGGTTTTGATAGCTGCGGTCTGACTAATTGCCCTGGTTTTACCCTGTAGGTGACGTAATAGGAAAAAACATTGCAAAATAGGCAAAAGCTGTCAAGCTGAGGATGCTGAGGATGCTGTGTAGGTGTTATTAATCTTGGTGGTGTTAATGGGAAACTCCAAAAAAAACAAGAACACTCAAAAGCAGCATTATTACACTGAGCGATGAAACATACCAGACTCGCTGGCAAAACTGAAGTGACACTGGCGCTTTTAATCGCCTACGAAAAACTTTTAATGTTGCCAGGATGAAGTTAGGTAGGAAGGTCTTAGTAATAGAACAGTGGGCTGTCTGGGAGGGTGTTTTTAATGGGGGGCCCTACAGGGTTTTATTGCTTAGGACTTCCAAAACCTCAGAAATGCCACCGTTGATGAGATCCTGTCTTGCAAGCTGTGCTGGTGTGGGGGGTATTGGCACGAGCAGGCGGGCCGTCTGCTGGTGGAATAACAGCATTATGCTCACCATCTCCCCTCCTCGTTTCTCTTGGCAGGACCCAGCAGTGTCCAGGCGGCGGAGTTCGGCCACCTGCCCGACAACCTTACTGTGCTGGAAGGAGAAAGCGTCATTCTGAGGTGACTACACAGTTCACACTTGCACTACTGTTCAGTTTGGAATCACCTGTTAGATTAATAATTCATAGTCAATTTATATAGAAGACCAATGTGGACTGAACTACAAAATGATTTTCAGTATTTTTTCTTCAATATTTCAGGTATTTAGTGAAAAACAAAGAAACTTGTATAAATTCTTCATGTTTATTATTTGTATATAAATAATTGTCATTATTTACAGTCTGTGAAGTTGCACAGGATTAGCATATTTCAGTCTTTGGTAACACTTTAGGATACATTCTTAGCAAAAAGAGTTCTATGTAGTAGTGAAAAGGGTTTTTTTGGCTTGTAACAAGAGTGGAACCCTTTTTAGTGCTATAAAGAACCCTTTTCAAAAAGTGTTCTGTATAGAACCATCTACAGCACATTCTCCGTCAATCTGAAGAACGCTTTCATGATCTACAGCACATTCACCATCAATCTGAAGAACCCTTTAATGATCTAGGGCACATTCTTCGTCAATCTGAAGAACACTTTCATGATGCAGAGAACCTTTTAATCTTGCAAAGTGTTCTTTAAAGAGTTTATGGTTCTATGTAGAACCATTTTCTTTACTAAAAAACCTTTGAAGAACTTATTTAAGAGTGTAGGGATGGTAAGATTCACAAATTTGTGAATCTTAATTATTAAAATGATTTAAAAATGTAATTATTAGTAGACACTCTATGTCTTTATTACTTTAGAAATATTACCATTAATTTTAGATTATTTTATTATTTCTCCTCTCTAAGCTGTTTCTCAGTGCGCTCTCTCATCTCCAATGCCATCAGCGGCCAATTCTCATCAAGTCTCTTGGCCAAGTCTCACGCGAATTAAAGGTGTGTTCAGGCGAGTCACAGATTATCGTGGAGGAGGAAGAGCTACACTTCCCTCCGAATTGCTACAAATCAAATGTTTGGTGACACTCCAGATTTTTCAAGAGAGACAGAAAATTTCACAAAACACATACAATTTGAAAATTTGCCATGCTGCTAAAAACAGGCAGCACGACTAACTTAAAGGAGCAAAATGTAACACTGACAGCGGCTTAAAATAGGTACAAGTCCAAACTCAAAATATTGGAGACAGTTGTCTGCCCCGCCCCTGTTCCCCCAGACTCAGAGCTCACACAGGATGCCAGGTTGAGTACTCAGAACCCACACAATCGAGCACAACATTAGACATTGACAATAGCAAGTGTTAATCAGTTCTACACTGTAAGTTAATCAGCTAATGTGCAGCTAATGCTTGCAATGTTTTTATTGTTCGCAAATTACAAACCATGGATTTTCTGTGGTACAATAGCGAAAGCTAAGCAGAGCCCACTGCTCTGAAAATGCTCAGTGTCTTGAATGAAGCTAAACTCAGCTTCTTATTCGCCAGCTTCTTGTTTGAATGCTCCCGTTCCACCTTAAATGGTGCAGCAGTTACAGGCGTCATAATGTTTAAGGCTAAATGGGAAAATTCAAACAAGAATTTTATTTGAATATTATGTATCACAATCTTTTGTGCAACATTTTAGTTCTTTATCTAGATTAGGATCTATTATTATTTGGAGTTACTTGAATTGTGAGCAGCCAGTTAATAACTTACCAAGTCAGAATTAGTCACAGTGGTGGTGTTAGGAACCAGACGTCCACCTCTAAAAGCTCCCTCACAGAAGGTTATTACATGAAATGGTTATAAATACAGTGCCTGACGTCTGACATTGTTTTATGCTAGTTCTCAGATACATTTCTGGGCTAAAATATATGTTGTTTTTATCTATTCATGGTGGAGGGGTTCCTGTAAGGTGCTATAAGGCAAAATTGTCCCCAAAGAAAACATATTTTTTTCAGATTTACCACTATTTTACCATCAACATTCATAAAAACATGTGTAGGTTCACTGGTGGTTTTGGATAGTAAATAAAATGGCTATATTTGTGTTGTAGACATGGTGACCCCTGGTTCCCATCACCACCACTGTAAAGAAGTAAGTTTCTTTAGAGTGTTATCTAGGTGATTCCAAACTGCACACTTATACATCAGTCCATCAACCCTTCATCTGATTGAATTCATCTCAGATCTGTCAGACAGTTTTGTTATTTTTTTTTTAGTTTAATTCTGCTCCCTCTAGTTTCCTGTTTGTCACTTTGCCTCACGCAGACAGAAACGACTTGGTTTCAGGCTATGAGCCAACAATTGAAGTCCTGTACTGCCTGTCAGATGCCATTCCACCTAGCAGGAGCGCAGCAGTATTCTAACAGCCAGCATTCAGCCCTCTCTCGCGCGCTCTCTTTAGTATTCCAAACACTCACGCGCACAGAGCCAACGAGCTCTGATTTGATATCATGATGCGACGAGTGAAAGTCAAAGTCGACATGAATTGGGGCACTGTGATCTCTTGAGGTTTTCACCCAGAGATGTGCCACTTTTCGCTCCTGTGACAGAACGGAACTCACTGCTGACATCTAGTGGTGGGCATAAAAACAAAAACATGGAACTCTTCTGTTAAACTGAGGCTGATTTGTTAGCAGGGTGTTATGTGTCATCATCTCCGAGTCACAGGGCTCATCAAACAAGCATCATCGAGAAGCAAAAAGGAGGCTTCCTTCAGGGCAGCATGAGCTGATATTTGATATTTGCTGAGTTTGTTATTAAGGGTGTAAAAATGTGTCTGAAGGTGGTGATTCAACTACACTGACTTTAGAATCGATTCTCACTGGGTATAATAATATTTAATAACATGGGCTTGTTTTTTGCCCAAAATGAGATTCTGAGGCTGTTTTCATACATAAAACACTTCAAAATACAGGACATGGACAAAATAATGGAAACACCTACCATGCACAAGTTTGAACACCCTCCATAGTGAACACACTTATGCACATTTTAACACACTGCTTTTTTAACATATTGGGGGAAAACATAAAATATAAGGTGTGCCATAACTTCTGCACAGACCTCATTTATCCAACATATTAAATTTCAGCAAATAAACAGTAAGTATCCATTAAAATGTGCAGAGGTGTATAGAGGATGTGTGTTAACTCATTTTCACTTAGAAATTCAACTAAATGGCATTTGACCACGACTGTAAGTAATATTTCTCATTACGAGATTATTGTAAGAATATGAAAAATGATATAAGATGATCTGCCAATGGAATAATATACTTTAACCAAACATACAAGTTAAAACTTGTTATGTTTCTATATTTTCATGATGAGAAATATTAGTATTAGTACCAGGAGTACCCAAACTTTTGAACACGAGTGTAAGTAATATTTCTCATTATTGTAAGAATATATAAAATCACATAAAATGATCTGCCAGTGCAATAAGATATTTTAACAACATATAATTACTTGAAACAATTAAAAACTTCTTATGTTTATTACTTAATTACTCTAAACAAGTAAAATCTTATTATGTTTATACATTTTCAGGATGAGAAATATGAGTATTAGTACTTCTGAACATGACTGTAAGTAATATTTCTCATAATTGTAAGAATATGAAAAATGATACAATCTGCCAAAGAATTAAGATATTTTAACCACATAAAATAACTTAAAATAAGTTAAAACGTCTAGAAATGTGTTGAATAATCTTATTATGTTCGTGCAACATTTTCATGATGAGAAATATTTCTGACTACATTTAAGACGTTTTCACTTGCTAAGACTTGCTGTTGACGGTAAAAATCAGGTAAAGTGAAGCGTTTCCGGAATGTTCCGCTGACCGCAACGGTGTGCTACTGTTGCCACAGCCAGTGGTAGAATTCCCCGTCACTCCTCTATTGAAAACAATGGAATATCAGATTCATTGCTGACCATCTACCATCATAATGTAAACACAGCTTAAGTGGATTATTGACTGTCTGTGTGTTCATTGTTACCACACTGACACCATATCCTCATATCCCGCTCCTCACAGATGTAAGATCGATGAAGAAGTTACCCACAAAGCCTGGCTGAACCGCTCCAACATCCTGTTCGCGGGGACGGATAAGTGGTCGCTGGATTCGCGGGTGTCTCTGGTCAACAGTAACGACAGCGACTTCTCCATTCAGATCGAGCGTGTGGCCGTGACGGACGAGGGCCCGTACACGTGCAGCTTCCAGGCGCGGAACCAGCCCCGCATTGCACACGTCTACCTCATCGTCCAGGGTGAGGCCAGAGTCACTCGTCTGTTTGTTTACTCGTTTTAAAGGGGCAGTGGACACTGAACTACATGTCCAGAAGTGTATGAGATTATCTTTACTAAAATTTCTTGTGTTTATGTTTTGAAATTAAAACTACAGATGTTTCTGCAAACAGAAGTTCGGTCTGATGAATAGTTTGACAAAAAGTCAAATACAATTTTCCACTTACCCCAGATATAGTTTAGTGCACAAGCTACCAGGCTAATGTTGCTAACAAACTCTAGAAGTCAGTAGTCACCCAAATCTTTTCTGTGAATACATCTAAAAAGTTCTCTCAAGACACAGACAGGTTGTGGTAGTATGACTTACTGCGAGCTATAAAAATATGCAAAATTTCATTGAAGTTGAAAGATTTAGATTTGTCATGAGTTTCATTTTCAAATTAAAAACAACTTCATTCCAAAAATGCAGCCCCATGTTTTCATGTTACTACCAAAAAGTTTTAATCCATAGGCGGAGCCTTATTTTAGCCATGCCCCTGTATTTTAGAGCAGGAAGTGAGACTGAATTTAATGAAAAATATTATAATTTTGTTTTGTGTTCAAAGCTGTGTTTGCTCGTCATGTACTGGCTAGCGTTTTTGAGTTCTGCTCAAAATGAGCTAAAGTTGTCACTACTGAAACAGTCACTACTGAAACTTTACTAAATGTTTCAATAGTGTTATGATTGCTACGGTAGTGACAAAATGGAATGTGCAATTCTAAATCTTAAATAAAATAAACATAATTAAGATGTAGGCTCACTCAAAGCAAAAGCATTTTAGTCCAAATGTGTTTTCAACTCAGACTTCGAACCAGTTCAGATAAGATAAGATTAGATAAGATAAGATAAGATAATCCTTTATTAGTTACACAATGGGGAAATTCACAGTGAATGAATAAAGAATATTTAGTTCAGTAGAATCATCCATGTTTCTTAGATTATGTTTGTGATTTCTGTTGGAATGTTTTGACAGAAAAGATTTGGGTGACTATTGGCTAGTGTTGGTTAGCAACATTAGCCTTATAGCTTCACTGCTAAAACTAAAGAAGCAAACTTTGGACACCAAACATGTCTGATGAATTACATCTGGGGTCATCTGGGGGTACATTTAAGATGATTTCACTTTCCTAGTTTAAAAGAAATCCTGTATGCTTGTAATCCTCACTATGGGAAGGTTAGTCAGCTTTTAGTTCAAATGTTTATCATTAAGAAAATCCTGAATTGGAAATTTAGGAGTCAATTCACAGTTTTTATTGGTGCTGGAATTTGCTATAAAGATGACTTCCTGGCCGTTCTCATTAATGGTCACATAACCGAGGATATGTATTCCATCTCAGAGCACATTTGAAAGTAGCTCAGATCTGATTTGAAACGATTCAGATGTCTGCGTTCACACTGCTCTGAAAAAATCAGATCACAAAATCAGATTTGTAATGTGAACGCAGCCGTAGTGGACAAGCGGCACACAGGGAACAGAAAGAGGGGGCGCTATTGGGTTAGCGGGGCAGCTTCAGTGAAGTGCTTGACTGGATATTAACGCACAAACAGGTGCCGTGTCCAAAATTTCCCTTAAATCCCTACACCCTACATTCGACAATCTGGACCACTATATATGGGGAACAGAATTTGCGATGGCAGCAAATGATTTATACAAATTTGCTCATTACTTGCAAACAATGCATTATGGGTAAATCCCCTAGGGAACATCAGTTGTACACTACTTACTGTGGTGCATTGTGGGATTGTTTGAGTGCACTGGATATCTGCACAATGTTTTCGGACACCACTGCAAAATGGTGTAACAACAAATTGCACTAAATAGAAAGTAGGGCCGAGTTTTGGGCGCAGCTAGGGACTAAGCCAATCGTCACGGTAATGGCTGAGTGACAGGAAGTGTGAGTGATCCTGAGTGACGTAATTTATTGCCGTCTGACAGCGCTGGTGATGGATGGCGGACCCTCACCCCCCGAAAACATGTCAATCGTTATGTATATTGTATTTTCTACTTGGTGTTGCGCCGTAATAACAGAGGTGGTGTTAGGAAAATGAAAAATGGACTCTAAAACGTGATTCGGCAGCGCCACGCTGCAGTTAAGAGGGGTGTTAGGGGCGGGTGGGGGGTATCCTTTTTTTTCCACAATGCTTTCGAGCAACTTTATAGCCATTCAATGTGCAAAACACACCTCAGTGCACGCAGCTTTTCTGTGGGCCGTACAGAGACATGATCGTATTTGTTTGATACTTTGCTGCCCTCAATTTTAAGTCTTCATATGATATCACAGAAAAATAATTACACCCTCGAGACACGGCACCAGTAGGAATGACCCTGCAGCGGGTCCAATTTTGGCTTTATCGTTAAAAGTGGCTTTTGTCCAGCAAAAAGCTGGGAAAAGGAGGGGGGGTGGTGTTCTGCTGGAGAATGCCTTGCAGTGTGAATTCCTTGGCTATATTCATTACAGCGGCGATGATAGAGCATTTAAATTCAAGGGCCATCTGTGTTATTTGTCTAGCATTATGCACAGGCCTTCACAACAGGGTTTCAGCACAACACAACAGCTTATGGCTATCATTTTTTGGAACGGGAGAAAGACACAGAAACCGGTCTGAGTGGTGCTTGAGTGAAAGTGCTCAGACAGTTTTGGGTTGGACTGATTCATCATGTAGGCTGTAAACAAGCCGGTTCACCCCTTCAATTGTGAAGGGTACGTCTGAGGGTCCCTGTTTTTTAAGTCTTTGCAGGATATCTAGGCTGAGGAAATCATCTAAAATCTAGTCAGTATGGTTAATATTTTTCTTGAGATTGTTGTAAGAATATTTCAAGACTAACTTATGTCTAAACAATTTTTTTCTTGTAAGTGAAACTGCTTTATTCTTCTAGCAATGAATTTTGCTGAAAAAAAGTGAAAACCTTTAGAAATAAGGGTAACACTTTAATTTGAAGGGTGACTACATAACATAATATCTTACATAAACACTTCATAACATGTTCATGAAGGTTTAAATCAACTTTTATAAAGCATACATGTTTTACATGATGTTAATATGGATTGCTATGTCATTTTACTGAAATATATTTTTCAAAATAAAAGTCTTCATATGTTTTATTTTGAAAAAGTTCTTCTTCTTTGTTCTCGGAAAAACACCTTATGTTTGGACAGCCAAAATAAAAATGGCCTGGCTTTATCCCTTTGGTCATTACATGCTTTTACACTGAGGCATGTTTCGTGTATACTTTTGACTTCTTTTTTTATTTTTGTTTTGTTTTTTCTTAAGCATTTATTTGCTTAACATGTCACTATACTATATGTACTACTATATACAACTATATTTACTATATGGACAGTGAATTGCTCATGAATATGATGATGATCATTAGTATGATGGTGGGATTTATTGCATGAAGGAATTTTACTATAACTCTCAATCATTCCTTGTAGATGCTGGATAGCCACATTAATGTAAGTGACTACTGATACCAACAGTGAAACTCGTGCCTTCTCCAATACCACAAGCATGAAAGGACATGACTAACAGTGTTAGCATTTAACCCCAAGAAAGTTCAACTTAGGATAAACAACGTTTCCCTCTACAATATATATATAGACTGTTGAATTAACCCTTTGGCAAGACTTTGACTAAAGTTTTAAGGAAGACACAGAGTAAAAAGGGGAAAGGATAGTAAAGTGCAAAATACTTGCAAAATTCCTAAGGAGAAAGAAATAATTAAAAAGAAGTTTCACTGAAAATTAAATTTTTCAAAATACAAAAAATGGGACTTTTATTTTTAAAATATTTCTCAGTAAAATGACATAGTAGTCCATATTAATATCATGTAATACATAGTTTATGAATGTTGATTTAAATATTCATGAACGTTATGCAGTGTTTATGTAAGATGTTATGAATGTGTTATGTAGACACCCTTTAATTAAAGTGTTACCGAAGTTCAACAATCTCATAACACACTACAACTTTTATGAGACGATGAGATAACAATCTCATAACTCATAACATTCTGACAACAATCTCAAATTGATAAATATTAGGTACAGTTGTATGCAAAAGTTTCAGCGCCCCTGTCAACTTACACATCCTCTACCACACACAACAGTAATTTTAATTAACTTAAAAAAATTCTCTGCACCACAATGTTACATTCTCATGTCAGATTATTTCTATTCTCATGTTGATGTTTCCTCCTTATTAAGTCCTTTGCTTATTTTCTGCTTATTGCTTATCATTATTATTATTATTATTATTATTATTATTATTATTATCTTTTCTTGTCTTGCCATTGTTTGTCTGTTAGTTTGTACTTATATGTCCTCCCTCATGGATACATCACAAATAAAAATAAAGTTTTATTAGTCCTCTGATGGGGTTGGAGGGGATAAGTAAATAAGGAAATAAACAATGAAAGAAAGAAAGGAAGAAAAATAAAATAAATAAAATAAAAAAAAATAAAATAAAACATTGCCTGTCCAAAACTTATAGCATATTCTTTATTTTTTTCTAATATGTTAAACTCTTAAAATTAATTAAAATTGTGCACAAAAATTTGCATAAAATGCCATATTATTCCATAGTAAGTTTCCTGTAGATGATGTTAACTTATTTTTACTTAGAAAACCTGAACAAAACATGTCATTTGACTGTTCAAACTTTTGTTTACCAAATTATTATTGATTTTTAGCATCATATTCAAATAATTTAAGTTCTTCTGCAAAAACATTGTTCCATTGTATTGAAAACTGTGACTTCAAACATTTGATCAGATTTATGTTGATGAAACACAGTATCACACCTGATCTGGTACTTTGCTTTGCTTCATTTTTAATCACTTGATTTGAACAAAGCCAGTTTACCCACTGCTCACCACACTTAGTGTGTTTTTCAAGGTTGAACTGACAGTATTCTTCACAGTGTAGCAGATACAGAATAATTGATAGTAGTTAATAAGTGGAATAATTCGTTTTGTGATTAATAACTGAGTAATCAATCTGGCGTTTCAGTGATTAATCAAGGCTTTGATGTGCTTTTTCTTCAGTGCCAGCCAGGATAGTGAACATCTCTCAGGATAAATCGGTCAACGAGGGCGACGACGTGAACCTGTTCTGCCTGGCGGTGGGGCGGCCCGAACCCACCATCACCTGGAAGGACTTCAGATGTGAGCCGCTTGCCAGTTTAAGCTGGGATTTCGCAGCCATCTCACAATCACATCACGCATAATTACAGCCATAACCAGCGCGATAATCATCAACATCTGTCATCATCTCCGCTGCCACTGTCGCCACAATCGCTGCGATACTAATAATCATGTTTGTCATTAAGGCACTATTTATAACTTCCATCATCATCGATATAAATCACATTCATTACGGGTGGCCATGATGGAGCACCTATTAGAACTCATTACGGTTCGATGTTTTTCGCGAGAAATATGACTGTTCGTCAGGCCGGTTGGCAACCTGGTTGGAAACCAGTCGTTTATTTTCATTCTGAACGCTCGTCCTCTGGAAGCTCAGCTGTGGCTCCGCTTACACTGCCAGAAAACAGAGCTAGAACCACTTCAGTCTCAGATTCAGGCCCGAGGGAGAGGTTTACATACTCTCACATAAACACTGTCGCAGCAAACAAACAACAACAAAAAAAGCATCTAACGAGCTCATGCAAGATCTAGGAGAAGTGGGAATCACTACCGTAGATTAAAAATTAATAAAGGAGATGAAGAGGGCCAACGCGCTGAAGAAAAATGATCAGCAGCTATGTTTTGATATGTTTTTTCCTTTTTTTATCCCAATCAGAATACAAATTCTGGACTGCACAAGAGTCCAGAGCCTATACAGTAGTATACTGAGAGCTGAACATCTCCTGGTCCAACTGCATGTTAAAATAAATACATTATCTAAACTTAAATATGATATTTTTAGATGAAATTTATGAAATGTTTCTACACTCACTGTCCATTTTATCAGCTCCACTGACCATAGAGTTTGTCTTCCTACAGTCATAGACTGTAGTCCATCTGTTTCTCTGCATACTTTGTTAGCCCCCTTTCACCCTGTTCTTCAATGGTCAGGACCCCCACAGAACCGCCACAGAGCAAGTACTATTTGGGTGGTGGATCATTCTCAGCACTGCAGTAACACTGATGTTGTGATGGTGTGTTAGTGTGTGTTCCGCTGGTATGAGTGTTCAGACACAGCAGTGCTCTTATCTCCACCCACTGTCCACTCTATTAGACACACCTACCTTGTTGGTCCATCTTGTGGATGTAAAGTCAGAGACAGTAGCTCATCTGCTGCTACACAGTTTGTGTTGGTCATCCTCTAGTCCTTCATCAGTGGTCACAGGATGCCATTGGCTGGATATTTTTGGTTCTCAGTCCTGAAACTGAGGTGAACCACTCACACCAGCGCAACAAACACTAACACACTACCACCACATCAGTGTCACTGCAGTGCTGAGAATGATCCACCACCCAAATACTACCTGCTTTGTGGGGGTCCTGACCATTGATGAACAGGGTAATAAAGTATGCAGAGAAACAGATGGACTACAGTCTGCAACTGTAGAACTACAAAGTGCTCCTATATGGTCAGTGGAGCTGATAAAATGGACAACATACAATCCATTCGGGTTTCTAGCCCATAGTTGCAGCGTCTTGTCCACAAAGTCTCACCACAGTCTCATAGCTCATATGAGATTTTTACCCCTTTAAAATCCCAGGCTTATTACATACTAAGGCTTATTATTCAGTAATTACAGGGTATTCAATGCAAACTGGTTGAGCTATTCATAGGTTATAGAAGTGTGTAATAAAACTTTGGGCCCGTTGGCCATGTAAGGGTTTCAATTAGACTAGATCAGTGGTGCAAACAATATTTACCCAACAAATACAACCTCAATCTTGTCCTCGTCTGGTGTGTGCAGGGCTTGCTACCCATTAATATCGCTTTATGAATGTTTGTAGCGATCTACCCCGAGTGCTAGCCAGATGTTTTCAGACACAATCATTGAATACAATGTTTTTATGAGTCAGCTTTGCCAGCATTTATGAGCTTCGATCATTGATCTCATACCAAGAAAAAAAGTCTTCTTTTCCCTTTTTTACTTGGCCTAACAGCATGTTACTTTCACTTAAAACTATGATATCAGTTAAGCAGTAGGAAACCATTAGGGCCTTCTACTTTTTTTTAGAGCAGGCTTAATGAATTCTGTGAAATATACCAAGGCAGGGACCAATTTTGTGAGAACAAACATCATTTTAGGCCTTCTAGAAGTTCTAGATACATCATTGACTGTCATTATGAGCAGTAGTATAACCAGGTTTCAGGCAGTTCAGGCAGGACTCTACTTAAATCTGTAAAACTGCAACATACAAGGTAAAATATATGTTAATGTCTGTTCGAACACCTATTACAAGTGTTGAAATGTCCACATTCAATCTAGAACAGCCAAAAAATGTTCATGTGAATGGTCATTAGCCTAGTGCGAACATGCGACTAGAATCCCATAAAGGTGCTGGCGAAATAAGCTTTATCATAGACATTTTTCTTTACCTTCTAATTAACATTTTGAGATTCATGGCCGAATCTGAATGCCAAGCTTAACAGTCACTGCAATTAGGTTACGATATCTAACAAGGCTAACTTGCCAACTGATTTAGCTAATGCTAAAGCTTCATCCTCAATACTTTGAAGGACACTGAAAGTAAAGGTGTGCTATAATTTGAAATATTCACAGATTATGTTACATGAAGAAACTAAAGTTGATAATTAATTCATGATGAGCACATGCCTACATAGCTACCAAAATGGCCACATGCGCATTAAACTTTATCAAAAGCAACTACAGTTATCTGTCTCATTCAACAGACTCATGCATAATCACATACACCAGGACGAAAAAAGACTCTCATATCTAATTAGCGCCCCTACCTCCAGTGTATCAATCAATCCCTAGTGTGCACCAGTTAATTTAATTACATGTCCATCTGTTCCACTATATGTCTTGTTTCCAGCGCGTTTCCGTTCCGCTGATTTCTCTTTGCATCGGTTAATTTCCAGCGTGAAGCCATTAGCCACTGTAGCTTCAATTCCAGAGCTAGGGGATGCATATCTAAAGACTAATCCCTTATGGACTGTGCTATGTAGTACATGCTATTTTCGCTGTCCTCTAAACAGGTCTAGTTATCAAGAGTGGCCTGTGTGTATGGCAGAATGTGGCAACTGCCATACCTCAGCATTGTGATGTAGTAGAAAATTATAAGTTAGGTGCCCATTTAAGCTGATCTAGAATCAGATTTCTCGCACTCAACAGGTGAATTCAGCTTGTTGGAACCACATGGGTACATACCATTGATGTAGGGCTGTTTTCTGAAGTGCTGTTTCTAGCACCACGTGGTGCCCTGGAAAGCCTTGACAGGCCAACTGGCAGCTCCCTAGCACCACCTAGGGCCCTGGAGGGCTTCACCAGGCCAACACCTACCTCCCTAGCATACCTGAGTCCTCCAGAGGGAGCATGTCAGTGCCCAGTTCTCTATTGTCACTTAGTGCCCTGGAGGGCAGTGACAGGCCAAATGCCAGCTCGCTTGCACCTCTTGCACAACAGGTCAACACTTGGCTTCCTAGTGCTCCCTAGTGCCCCACAGGGCACTGTTAGGCCAATGTCCAGCTCCCTACCACACCTCAGTCCCCCAGTGGGTACCAACAACCAGCACTTAGCGTCCTAGTGCTGCGTAGGGTCTTGAAAGGCTAACATAGCTCTCTAGGGCCACCTAGTGCCCTGGAGGTCATAGACAGGGCAGTGACTAGCTCTAGTACCACCTAGGCCTCTGTATGGCAGTGACAGGTCAAAGGACAGATTTACAGCACACCAGAGGGCCCCAACAAATCAATACATAGCTTCCAAGCACTCCTTAGTGCCCCAGAGGGCACTAATAGGCCAACATCCAGCTCCCTAGCATATCTCACTGCCCCAGAAGGCACCGACAAGCTAGTACCTAGCTCCCTAGTGCCGCGTAGGGTCTTGAAAGGCCTCCAAGTGCCCCGGAGGTGATAGACAGGGCAGTGACTAGCTCCCTAGTGTCACCAGCAACATTTTTTTTATTTATATATTGAGCTAAATATCTATCTCTCTCTTAATATATATATATATATATATATATATATATATATATGTCTATCCTCCATACATTGGGTATTTTTAAAATGCAGCCACTGTTCTCTACGCTGGCCCAGATAAAGGTGGCAGGCAGGTGAGCTAGTTGAGCTTTCTCCCTGCGGAGCTCTGGGTTTGCTGCAGGCCTCCTGCAAAATGCCCCACTCAGCACTTCAGGACCCTCCCACCCCAGCTACCATCGCTCACAGCGAGGGAAGGGGCTAATAGGGGGAGGAGAGAGGGAGAAACAGGGAAATAGAGTGAAAGTGAAAAAGGGCTGCATTGTTATTCTGTAGGAGTGGCTGCGGTGGAGCCACTGGCTGCCAGCACAGCGGTGAGGGCGTCCACACACTCATAGATGGAGAGAACCATCTGGACCCAAACCCTGAGCCTGCAGGGGACCAGACAGACTGCCTCGACTACTGTCCATCATTTATCCCCTCAACCCCTCCCAGCAACAGTCTCGCTGTTCTAGCTCCGCCCAGTGATAGAAACCTGCTGTAAAGACCTTTATTCACCAAATCAAGGGAACACTTTTTCTAGGCGTATGTTCTTTGGGAACACATCTTTTTTGGAGTATAAACACAAAAGTGGTGATTCAACTGCACTGAATTTTTAATGTCAGAATCATTTATAATCAGCAGACTTTACAGAACGCTGGCCAAATTCCCATTCAGCTTGATGAGAAACTGTAGTACACAACTCACAACTTTATCATAACACCTACATTTACAGTTTATTTATTTTGATATATAAACATATTTTCTTCACAAGAGGCAGATCACACCATATAGAGATCTTTAGTAGTTTCTCTAGGTTTTCTTGTCGACGTTAGTGTTTGTTTTCTAGTTTGTGTGTTTTTGTCAACATTAGCATGGTGGCAAATTTGTGATCATTTCCAATCTGCCTAGTTTAGCTACAACACTTGGTCTCAATAACATTTTACACTGAGAAATATGGAGCCCTGCTGGTGACATCCGTATAAATAAAAATAATGCATTGCCA